GGATTACAGTTACTGTATGATGCAAGGAGATCTTCTCTCTCATCCAAGGTCAGAAAGGATTTTCTCAGACATGGTCTAATGTAAACTGTGAATACGTGGATGTGAATTACAGTGATTTTTATCACTACTAGGGCAACGATTTGAAAATTTATCAAGTTGTTGCATTAATTATATATTTTCTTTGCTGTGGTGTTTGCCTGTGTAATACAGAAGTTGCTCGGTCAATACTAAGGTACTATGACTGATTTTGAGTCATTCAGAAATTAATTGAGTGTCTTTAATTCAATTATATTTCGATTTTAGCCTGGGTTTCCCCACGCTGCCTTTCCGCAGTGCGATTTTATTCACGCTGGACACCACGAGATAGGGAACCAATCACAGAACGGGGAGGGAGCGGGAAGACGATGACGACGTACATGCGACACCGAAGCAGTTTGTTTATATCTATGGATCCATCTTGGCAGCGGACGCGAAGTTACCTTTTGATACTGCCTTTGTGTGTACATAAATCTCCTAAATCTCGGACCCATCGTCATCTTAATCGTCTAATTTTCTGTCGCTCTACATGCGTCATCTGGTATCAATGACCTGATTGGCTATGGGCTACGTACAGGCATTTTTGATAGACATTCGTAGCACCCAATAATATGGCTCTGGGCATTCGTAAACCACGCCTCAAATACGAGAAAATTAACATGTGGTTTTTGATTGTATGGGATTAAAATTTACTGTAATTAATTAGATGATTGGATGGATGGATGGATGGATGGATGGATGGATGGATGGATGGATAGACAGATGGAAGTGGTTGGATGGATGGATGGATGGATGGATGGATGGATGGATAGACAGATGGAAGTGGTTGGATGGATGGATGGATGGATGGATGGATGGATGGATGGAAGTGGATGGAAGGATGGATGGATAGATGGAAGTGGATGGATGGATGGATGGTTGGTTGGTTGGTTGGTTGGTTGGTTGGTTGGATGGATGGATAGATAGATAGATAGATAGATAGATAGATAGATAGATAGATAGATAGATAGATGGATGGATGGATGGATGGATGGATAGATGGAAGTGGATAAATGGAAGTGGATGGATGGATGAATAGATGGATGGGTGGATGGAAGGATGGATGGATAGATAGATGGAAGTGGATGGATGGATGGTTGGATAGATAGATGGATGGATGGATGGATAGATGGAAGTGGATGGATGGAAGGATGGATGGATGGATGGATGGATGGATGGATGGATGGAAGTGGATGGATGGATGGATGGATGGATGGAAGGATGGATGGAAGGATGGATGGATAGATAGATGGAAGTGGATGGATGGTTGGTTGGTTGGATAGATAGATCGATAGATGGATGGATGGATGGAAGGATGGATAGATAGATGGAAGTGGATAAATGGAAGTGGATGGATGGATGAATAGATGGATGGATGGATGGAAGGATGGATGGAAGGATGTATGGATAGATAGATGGAAGTGGATGGATGGATGGTTGGTTGGACAGATAGATGGATGGATGGATGGATGGATGGATGGATGGATGGAAGGATGGATGGATGGATAGATAGATAGATGGAAGTGGATGGATGGAAGTGGATGGATGGAAGGATGGATGGATGGATGGAAGGATGGATGGAAGGATGTATGGATAGATAGATGGAAGTGGATGGATGGATGGTTGGTTGGACAGATAGATGGATGGATGGATGGATGGATGGATGGATGGAAGGATGGATGGATGGATGGATGGATGGATGGATAGATAGATAGATGGAAGTGGATGGATGGAAGTGGATGGATGGAAGGATGGATGGATGGAAGTGGATGGATGGATGGATGGAAGGATGGAAGGATGGATGGAAGGATGTATGGATAGATAGATGGAAGTGGATGGATGGATGCTTGGTTGGACAGATAGATGGATGGATGGATGGATGGAAGGATGGATGGATGGATGGATGGATGGATAGATAGATGGAAGTGGATGGATGGATGGATGGAAGGATGGATGGATGGATGGATGGATAGATAGATAGATGGAAGTGGATGGATGGAAGTGGATGGATGGAAGGATGGATGGATGGAAGTGGATGGATGGATGGATGGAAGGATGGATGGAAGGATGTATGGATAGATAGATGGAAGTGGATGGATGGATGGTTGGTTGGACAGATAGATGGATGGATGGATGGATGGATGGAAGGATGGATGGATAGATAGATAGATGGAAGTGGATGGATGGAAGGATGGATGGATGGAAGTGGATGGATGGATGGATGGAAGGATGGATGGATGGATGGAAGGATGGATGGAAGGATGTATGGATAGATAGATGGAAGTGGATGGATGGATGGTTGGTTGGACAGATAGATGGATGGATGGATGGATGGATGGATGGATGGATGGATGGATGGAAGGATGGATGGATGGATGGATGGATGGATGGATAGATAGATAGATAGATAGATGGAAGTGGGTGGATGGAAGTGGATGGATGGAAGGATGGATGGATGGAAGTAGATGGATGGAAGGATGGATGGATGGAAGGATGGATGGATGGATGGATGGATGGATGGATTGATGGATGGAAGTGGATGGATGGAAGGATGGATGGATGGAAGGATGGATGGATTGAAGGATGGATGGATGGATGGATGGATGGATTGATGGATGGAAGTGGATGGATGGAAGGATGGATGGATGGATGGATGGATGGATTGATGGATGGAAGTGGATGGATGGAAGGATGGATGGATGGATAGATAGATGGAAGTGGATTGATGGATGGATGGTTGGATAGATAGATAGATAGATAGATAGATAGATAGATAGATAGATAGATAGATAGATAGATAGATAGATAGATAGATGGATGGATGGATCAGCCTCTGAGGAAGACAGACAGTAAAGGGAGTGTTTTAATCCACATGGCTAATCCTGTTAGCGAACACTCGATTAGGGGAGATTACGAGAAGAGAGGGCAGAATAAACGGGTAATGATTACTCCTCTGAAGATCCGTGTTTCCCACAAGCACGTCAGTTCATCCTGGACTTTAAGACACACGTTCCTTTATTAAAACCCTTTTGCATTAAGCAATGCATATAGTTTCTTAAGAATTGGTAAACGGATCAGGGATCACCAATGTAAAACACTGTTTATCTTGGTAGATTGCTAGTGGAAATCCCCTGCTATCATAGTGCTAACGACTGTCGGATCCCTTTGCATTTATTAATAAATAAATAAATACGGGCCTTCAGAAAGAGACGCAGGACGTAGCAATGATGCATTCTTAAAAAGCCTTCCCATAGTTCCCCTGAGCTTTGTCTCCAGATCCAGAGAGCTGTGTCTAAAAGCACTGACGTGGATCTTGGTCTTCCTAGTAGACAGGAGCGCAGGTGCTGAGCATTATGGGTAAAAAGCTCCAGCCGACCCTCGTTCTCAACAACACAGCTTCATTCAGGAGAAGATCTTGTGGGAGGAAGTGCAACCTTCTCACGATCAATGCGGGCCCTTGGGAAAAGTGTATAACACTAAAAGAACATGATAGCTCACATAGGACCAGAGATCAGACCTCAGTCATGATGGCCTAATCAAAGCAGCGCGGGAACAGCTCTATTAGTGCGGATGACAACCTGATGCGCTTCAGATAATAACTTTATTTGACTTTTTGAGTTTTGTTTTGCTCACAAAAGCCATGCATCGGACTTTTTTGTTTTGTTTTGTTTTATTGTTTTACGTTTTGTTTTGAGATTTGCTTTGTTTTTTTTTTTTTTTTTTTTTTTTTTGCATTGTTTTAGATGAGCATTTTAAAAATTATTTTAAGTTTTGTTTTGAAATTTGTTTTGTTTGTTTGCATTGTTTTAAATGAGCATTTTTAAAATTATTTTAAGTTTTGTTTTGAAATGTGTTTTGTTTGTTTGCATTGTTTTAGATGAGCATTTTTAAAATTATTTTAGGTTTTGTTTTGAAGTTTGTTTTGTTTGTTTGCATTGTTTTAGATGAGCATTTTTTTAAAATTATTTTAAGTTTTGTTTTCTTTTTGTTCTGTTTGTTTGCATTGTTTTAGATTAGCATTTTTTAAATTATTTTAAGTTTTGTTTTCTTTTTGTTTGTTTGCATTGTTTTAGATGAGCATTTTTTTTTTGTGCTTTTTATTGAACATGAACATCAGTCAAAAGCATCAATGAACATCAGTATTAACAAAGACATTTTAGTTCCTTTTTTCTTTTCTCCCTTTAATGCAACCCCCCTCCCAAAACAGAATAGCACAGATAAAAGGGAAAGTAAATAACAATTACACATAGCAAGTTAGATCTCAGAGTAGACAATAAATAAACAATGTTTACACTTTACATGACTAGTAAGTTTACACAGAAGTAAAGGACATAGTAGGAATAGTTTTCTTTTTTATATATGCATATATATAAACCTCACTTTTTATTTTTAATTATTTTAAGTTTTGTTTTGTTTTGAGATTTTTTTGTTTGTTTGCATTGTTTTAGATGAGCATTTTTTAAATTATTTTAAGTTTTATTTTGAGATTTGTTTTGTTTGTTTGCATTGTATTAGATGAGCATTTTTAAAATTATTTTAAGTTTTATTTTGAGATTTGTTTTTTTTACATTGTTTTAGATGAGCATCTGACAAAAATTTGGGATATTTGCACTTAAATCAAGAAAAAAAAAACTATTTTATCAACTTTTATTTAGCTTTTTTTTAGCAATAAAAACTGTTTTATATTTGCAATTGTCAATTTTGTGACAATTGCGCATAAAGCAAGAAAATTGTTTTATCCAATTTAATTTTACATTTTGTTTACATTTTAGGCTTGCATCTGACTACATTTTCTGACAATTGTGCCTATAGCAAGAACAACTATTTTCTAAAGGGACAAGACAAATAAAGCATCTGAAGGATTAAAAAGGCAGTATATTTATATTAATATATATATATATAAATCTTCCCCTCTTTGTCTCCAGGAGTCTCCGAGCAGCCCGACTGTGTCTCTGAACTCTCCACGAGATGAACATGAGCGGCGGATCTCTCAGTCGCTTTATCCCGGAGAGAGCCAGGGTGACCAGCACACCCCACGACACGCCATGATGGGGAGATTGATGGGTAAGCTGATAAAACTACATACAAAAATGGCCAGCGCTTTCTCGAACCGAAGAACAATCTGATCGGCTGACTTTAGGAATTATTATGGATTTTCATCAGTCCAGATGTCCTTGCTCACCTGCAATTTCTGCTTTCCACATAAAGTATATCCGGAATGTCATTAAAAGGAAATGGGTCAGTTTGCATGTCATTCGAAGATCTTTTGCTGTCGAAAGGGGCTTTCACACTGTGTAATTACAGGAACTCAGTTATAGGAACTAGTCACCCGGGTGGAGTAATTAGAGTCATTCTCCTGGTTGCATTTGCACCACCTGTAGGAACTCTGAAGCGACATGATCCAGCATAGGCGATGTCATTTAGGTGCACCGTGATTGGTTGAGAAGTGCCTGGACTTTGGTCCATCTATCATTGTTTTGCATATCCTTTTTCAAAATGGCCTGTGCCAGTGTTTTGCACGGCATGCATTCAGACAATCAACTTAAACTTACGTCATTGGTAGTTTCTAAGGTGCCGGGTTAGACACAAGCAGCAATCCAACACAACAATGACTTAAACTGCAATTCATCGACTGGCCTCTAGAGACAGGCTGCAAGAGAGAGTCAATCCCATAGACCCCCATGTTAACATACTCAATTTTGAAGCAGAAAATAATATGTTTACAGCCTGGTACAAAAAGTTTTTGTCTATATCACATGACAACTGTGAGGGAGGTGGATTTTTTTATAACTCACCCATTTAAATTATATTAAGGCTTGAAGTTGTGCATAATTAAGGGTGTGGCCACTTGAGTGACAGGTGGATTGCCGCTGATGTCACTACTCTAGCCGTATGTCTGCTGTGTGTTACTCACGAAGGTGAGTATTTCCGCCTTTAGATATAGGCACTATGAAAGCGTTCCTCTGGTGTGAAAGCCCCTGATGTGGATGGTTTTTATGCTGATAGTCATATTTTTGCTCTGCAAGACTATGTACAGTATGCACACACACACACACACATGCTCTTTATATTTGCTTGACCTTGTGTTTCCATTCCCACCTGTTTCCACCGGACATGTACGCTTTAAATACACAGATGCATCAACACCTGGACACACAGGCTCAGTCCCAGCATGCTCCTGTGGTTTCGTAAATGGGGGTTAATGTCATTTTCAAGCCTCCGTCTCATCCAGCATGACTCTTTCAAGTCAGTCCTGATTTTTCTCAGACTCCGCTCCATTTCTAGTCCTGCCAGACAATTGGAATCGACAGACCAATCCTTTCACCGTCATGCTTGTCATTTCACAATCGACTACTCAGTCTTGAACAATAAGCTCTTTAGTAGCCGACGCAAACCCTGATCTTTCTGCTCTTCCTCCCCTGCTCTTCTTCTTGTCCTGAGCTTCTCATTGCAGTGTGATGATGAGTCAGTCTATGACATCTCGTTCTCCTCATCAGAGTTACAGTGGCAGAAGTGTATGATGGCGCTTGTACTGCCTCTTTTGTTGTAATTTTAATTGATAGTCGGGAGACAGGACAGGATATTGGGGGGGGGGGGGTGTAGTGGTCGATAGAATAATAACATATTTTATTATTATAAAAATATATATATATATATATATATATATATATATATATATATATATTAGTGCAGGGCAACGATTAGTTGCATATAAAATAAATGTTTGTTTACAAATATATGTGTACGTAAATACACATATGTATATATTTAAGAAATATTTGCATGTACATATATACTATATATTTATACATAATGTATGTTTATCTATATAAATATAAATACTTAATATATAAATAACATTTTTTTATTATATGCATGCATGTGTGTGTATTTATATATACAAAATAATTATACACAGTTCACACACATATATTAAATAAACACAAACTTTTATTTTGTATGCGATTAATCGCGATTAATCGTTGCCCAGCACTATATACTGTGTGTATATATAATATATATATATATATTAGGGCCGTCAAACGATTAATCGCGATTAATCACATACAAAATAAAAGTTTGTGTTTACATAATATGTGTGTGAACAATATTTTTATACTAAAATATAAATTATATAAATATAAATAATAATTTATGTTTTATAATATAAATATAAAATATAAATTATTTTAAATTAAAATAAAAATTTATAAAATATAAATCATATATATATACATGTATTATTTATACATGCATGTGTGTGTATTTATATATATATATATATATATAAATACACACACATGCATGTATAATTAAGAAAAAATATTAATTATATATAAAATATTTATATTTATATATAATATAAATTATATATAAATCTATATACAGTATGTACATGAAAATATTTCTTAAATATATACAAGCACGTGTGTGTATTTATATAAAATAATTATACACAGTGCACCCACGTATATTATGTAAACACAAACATTTATTTTGGGTGCGATTAATCTCGATTAATCATTTGACGGCCCTATATATATATATATATATAAACAAAATC